AAGTAGTGCGGCAGGTTGCACTTAGGTACCCATTGGGTGGCCGGGTGATGCTAGACTTAGTTGTTAGGTAAATCTATATAATTGCAAAAGTAATTCCAAGAATCTTAATAAAGTACTAGCGTGACTGCTTAAGGTTAAAAAAAAAAAAAAAAAAAAAATATATATATTCTATTCTATTTCTTTTTTAGTATAAAATATAAGTGTAATTTTTTTAACAAAATATATTTAAGACTAAATTATATAATAGTTTAAATAATAATACATTATATATGTTAATGATGATCAGATTAGAAGGACCAGATAAAGAGAAATTTAATTTTGATAATGTATTAAAGATTTGATATAAAAATAGAATAAGAGAATTTATAGTTTTTAATAAATAAAATATTAAGGTTTGAAATCTGATAAATTTTATTTTATTTTATAAAATTTTTATAAAACAAGAATCACTATAGCATTGATTTATAAAATAAAGGTACTATTAAATTCTTGTATCCTTTTATTTTAATTATTAAAAATAAATTACCTTTATATTTCAAAAAAATTTAAATCATTATAAGTAATAGTAAAAAACCATATAATAAACTACTACATTGCAATGGGCTAATTATAATAAAATATTCTTTGATATAAAGAAGCAATGAATTGTTTAATAAATCAATATATTAGTTCATTTTATCAAATAATTATAATGAATTAAATTTAACATGATTTCTTTTACAAACTACCAATATAAAAATCTTTTATCTGATAATTTTTGAAAAAATTCCAATTATGATGATCATGGATATAACAAGACATGGAAGCAAACACCACTACCAATATGAAAATTTGTTGGCCAGTATATTTTATTCAAACCTATTTTTTTTGTCTCAGTTTAAAGGTAAGTTAATTTCGCTCAACTGAACCAAAACGTCTTCTAGTGATTAATGCTTATATTACGGTATAAATTAATCTATAAATTAATCTATTAATCAAATATATTACTGTATATATTAATCCATTAATCGAATATCTTATACGTATAAACAATTATGATATGCATGCGTTGAATTGTTATTTTGGCCAATTAAATTCTAATACAAATAGATCAAGAACGACAATTTTTAAATGGCCGGGCCGGCATATTACTATAGTGTCTAAGCCATGACTACGACCCATATTTTTTTGGCCGCCGACAGCTCAGGAGTTTCTTGACCCTCACAGAACATAGCAATCGTGTAACATAATCGTACATAAAAGGTTAAATACTGATACAATCAGCCAAAAGCAAGTTTAAAAAACAAACCAAATAGACCATAAGTTCTAATAAAAATTTTACAATTTGTTTATATAGAAAAATATTACATTATATAAATTTTTAAATTTTTTTTTAAAAAATTTTGTAGAACTGATAGCGATAGCTGAATTATGAGAAACAATTAAGAACCTTTTAAAATAATTTTTAAAATTATTCACATGAATTATAGATCTGGAGTTTTTGCCTTGAAAAATCAAGTCATGAGTCATATAATTTATTTACTATGTCTCAACTTGATTTTCAAGGCAATATTTTTGGGTTCGGATTTTATACACTGATATGGGTATATGTAAGGTAATCACTTATTACGTAAAAAGTTACATCATATAATGTGACAGTTTAGCATTTGCCCATCTCTAGTGTATATACAATAATTGAAATTCAGGACTGAATCAGACTAATAACGATAATCAAAACACGTATGTATACGTATTGTATCAGTAACGGATATAACAGATATCCAAAAATAATATTTGTATCAAATATGGATATAGTACGCCAAATTATTATAAAAGTACGCGTTATTTCGGAACGCGCATGGGCGTTATTTCGAAACTATACTATTTTTAGATGGTACAATTTTCGAAATAACGCCCATGCCTGTATTTTATGGTATTATGTAATTTAATGAATTATCCAGTTTTGAAATTCGGGATTTGCAGTTCATTACACAATCGCAAAACCGAATAATACGGTTTTATTTATTATGACTGAAAATTCAATAACCCGGTTTTATTTCGATAAGAGAATAAATTTGAATTATAAATAAATTAATTAGAAGTGTAAAAAAAAATTAGAAGTGTAAAAAAAAATCTATTTGTAAAAATATTAATCCGATGACGCATATTAGGATCAGACTGTTAATTTATTAGATATATATTTTGTATATAGTTAGAGATGGCAAAAAAATTAGTACCATCCGGGTAGCACGTAGACGACTCCAAAATATAGACAATCGGTTAAGAAAGATGAATTATTTATTTATTTTTATTTTCTATTGAACCTCATGTATTCAGAAAACTCCAAATATGAAATGCAATAAAGATATTATCTTATGACTTATTACTTTCGTACATTCGATCTAATTCTGCTTGATACTTTGTTTGTATGTCTTTACGCTTGATTTTCGATGCCGCTGTCAGAAGACCCTATAGATATAAATGAGTGTTAGGAATTATATCCAATAACAAAATTAGATCAAATTGACACCTTACATTGTGAGCGGTCCACTCATCTGGTACTAACGTAATATCCCCAAGCAATTCCGCAGGTTTCAGACCTGCCTTCTTTCCTTGAGAAATGCAAGCTTGTAAAACAGAGGCAATTATTTCTTTATTTGAGCATAATTTTACAAACTCTTTTTCACCCAGATCCTTCTCCTTAGCAAGATTATAGATCTGAGCCTCTATAGGGTATATAAGAGCCACAGGTTTACTTTGAAATGAGTTTGCACAAACGCAGATATTGGACACATAAAGCGTTGATTTGTAGATAGATTCTAGTTTTTCCAAAGCTATATATTCTCCATTTGAGAGTTTCACCAAATTCTTTTTCCTATCAATGATACATAAAGTTCCATTATCTTTCCATTCTCCAATATCACCAGTTTGAAGCCACCCATCATCAGTGTAAGTCTCTTTTGTAGCTTGTTCGTTTTTGTAATAACCTTTCGCGATACAAGGGCCACGAATCAAAATTTCACCCTGAGGAATGGGGTTCGTGGAACAGTAACCAGCATCAGGAACATCTACTAATTTAATTTCCAAACAAGGGACAGGCGCACCAACACAGTTATAACCAAATTGCTCTGGTGTAAGAATAGCACACATACTAAAAATAAAACAGAAAATGCGCATGTAATTGTCAGATAAAGTAAATTTCAACCATAGTACAGTCATAAAGCTTTCCGATGGAACTTACCCACAAGTTTCGGTCATTCCATATCCCTGCAAAACTGGACACAAAGCGATGGTCAAGAATTCTTGCGTCTCTTTAGAAAGAGGGGCACCTCCAGACAAAGCAAGCCTCAACCGACCACCAGTTTGTTGTCTGATCTTGTTAAATACCATGACATCTAAAGGCTTAGTTGGTAATTCTCTACTTAAAAGCCATCCTTTGGCCTTATAAGCAGCATTAAATACTCTTTGTACAGTTGGACTGCTGGAGTTGACCTTTGACAAAACACCTTTTCTAATGGATTCCCAAACGGCTGGCACACCAACCATCAAGGTTGGTTTAAATTCTCGGATATCACCGGCACAATTACGTACAGATGCATCTGTCAATGTACGTATATTACCATAACCTAAAGTTATACCCCACCAGATACATACATGTTCCACGGTGAATTCAAGCACATGAGCAAGTGGAAGATAAGTGATTAAAGAATCTTCAGGCCGAATATGCTTTATAAGAATTTCATTTATGCCAGCGACTAAAATGGTTATAGATATGGTAAGTGATGTCATAACATTATAGAAATTTGGATCATCTAATACAAAAACTCACTCGCAGCTACTAAATTTCCATGAGTCAACAAGACACCTTTTGGATTCCCTGTGCTACCAGATGTATACATAATACAACATAAATCATCCGATTTTGGTGGAATTGGATCCGCTACCTGTTCTTTGCCTAATTGCTTGAGTTCATCCAAGGTTAATAATGTAATTTTTGGATGATTATTCTTGAACTTGTCAGCGACTCCATTTGAATCTTCACCATCATAGATAATAAATTGAAGTGTTGAGACTTTTCCGGCAACTCTTTCAGCCATTGGAAGTAGATCAGCGTTGGTGAACATGCCTTTAACCTCTGATTCATTCATAGAATGTAACAGACCGTCTTCTCCTAGAGTTTCATATGCAGTAACAATAGTGATACTTTGCCTGAAGCATCCTGTAATAAATCATAAGAAACGTTTTTAACACATTCAAATGCATATCAAATAAAATTCATTAAAACAGAAAATATGTTATACCATGTGTTACAAGCATCCAATTAGCACTGTCATACGTAGTTAAGAGAAACGGTTAAATATTTGATTAATTAATAATAATAAAAGAAACTTATAAATTTAGTAGTCAGGAATACCTAGTGGTTGAATAAACTGTTATCTTAGAATTGGGCTGCAAACCAAGTTTCATCAAACCGGATCCGATATTTCTAATTTCTTCGTCAATTTCTGTATAGCTTAAATAAATATATGGTGACATTTGGAAATATTTCCAAATTTTCTTTTCCTTAATTTCTTCACCCCCAACGATTTTAGTCACTTCTTTCTCTTCCTCGATTATTTTTTCAATTTTTCTATAGCCCATGGCTGATTTACCAGCACCATGATTTTTGACACTATATTGCATTACATCATATAAAGTTTTAACGTCCTCAGAAGGAGAGTCTATAAGTTTATTTGGAGAAATTAAAGAACGGCGTGTAGGAGTTTCTCCTTTGATTTCGGGACCAACAGCAATGCTAAATTGTTTTTCCATGTTGGAAGAGAAGGTAAAGAATAACAGGTATGAGAATTAAAGACTGATATGTTCTTTCTCACTGTTATTTATTGGATTAATCGAATATCTTTATGGGTATAATGAACTATGACTTATCGTTTAAGTTGTTAATACCACGATAAGTGGGTATATACATTGGATTAATATCACATGTTCCCATGCGATATTCATCATCATTATTTTAAAATATATACCATTTAAAAAACCTAATAAAGGTAACGATAACGAAGTACGTACGTATTATTATGGCAATTTAGTTTTCATATGTGGATTTACGGGATGTTTCCTGATCTTATTTGGCGGAAGATGTCATCAATTAAAAATCGTGGCGCCACCCGAGCTTGTAATTAATAGTTATTCGGCACGAAGTGCCGAATAACTGAGGTATTTACTGTATGCAATTTGATTGGTCAATTTTAAGCACCGAAGATCAGTTATGTAATCTGTACTTAAAATTTTTTTGATTGCAGAATGCATAACCAAGTAAAAAAAATATAAAAAATGATTTGATAAAAATTCTGAATTTTATAAAAAACAAAAAGCGAAAATGTTTGTTTACATGTTTATTGTTTACAGAAATACTTTAAACTACTTTGATTTCCTGGTATGAAAAAAAAGTGTTCAACACATTCCTTAATTTAGGCACATTCCATGTCTTTGGAAGACCCCCGCACGCTTCTATAATTTATCATTTTTTGAAGTTTGAATCAATATTTTTTAACCGTTAGTTTTTTTTATCGTAGAAGATCATAGACTTTTGTATATCCAATAACCTCTGTGTAAATAAAGTACAATTAATATATATTATACTTCGTGATGGGGGGTTTTTTTTAATTTCTAAATTTCTAGTCTTAGTATCTGCCTCGTCTTCTTCAGCTATATTATCTCTCAATTGGTTAGCTCAGTTTCTATAATAAGAGAATAATTCGAATTTCGTTGAATCTAAATAAAAATTTTATAATAAATAAATATACCTTCGAAGAAACAAATATCCATTTTCCCAAGAGGGTTAATAAAAAAATTAAAAAATAAGGACAAAGAAATATGCATTGCTTATTATCTATAAAATCATCACGCCCTGAATATATCTATGCCTCCTTTGACTGTTTAATACAGGTCTTTCTTATTAGCGTTGTTTTCAGATTAATTACATATTAATAATCATATTAATCTGATCAAGGTGGTTATGCTAGGTTCGTGTGCAAAATTCGACCAGTCAAATCTAGTAAATTAGTCATGTCCAAAAAATTTCGATTCGTGTAACCCGAGCCTCTGGACTTCGATCGGATGATTCAGATTCGGGCTAACTAATATTATAGCAAAATTACGTTCCGAGCATTTTTTACTTAAATTTGGTGGTTTTTTGGGCATAATTAATTGGGCCCGGACAACCAAACGTATTGATGTTCTTTTATTGATTCGTTTATATGTAAATGAAAACCAGTATATTGGTCTAAATTTGTCCAAATTTAGCCCGATCAGAAAATGTTTAAGGATGATTTTCACAATCTTACCCAGGTCGCTTGCAGTCACGCGACATCGACGAAAATTCTTTAAGTTCATTTAGATTAGGGGTAGGGCCTATTTTTGAGGAGTTTTAATAGCAAATTCGCTCAAGGAAAACTTTTTGTTAATGCGCAGGCGGTGATTTATTATGCAAATTTTTGAGAAACAAGCGATTCTTGACAAAACGAACGTTTTTTTTGATCATGTTAAGTTACACCGAATCATGATTATCGATCATCATGTGACTGCAGAATTTTGTCGGCGATTTCCCAACAAAATTTTTACACTCACATGATATCAGACAAAATTCTTTAAGTTCGTTTATGTTAGGATTATAGTCTATATTAAGATGATCATAATAGTAAAATTGTTCAAGGAAAACTTTTTGTTAAGGCGCAGAAGGTGGTTTTCTATGCAAATTTTGAGTTATAAGCGATTTTTGTTAAAACGAAGGCTTGTTTTGAATTTTTATGATTGCGTAACGTTACATTAAATCGAAATGGGCGTAAAAATTACATAGTGTAATTTTGTTGGTGATCCTGGGGAAGTTAGTAAAGATCCTATATAAGGGAACGTTAAAATCACACGTATACGTACAAGTTAATAGTGTTCTTATCCATTATCCATTTATCTATCGGATATCCAGATATCCGGATATCTGAGTGATTTGGATAATCAGAAACGGATAAACGGATGATAAATTCAATTTAATTTTACATTATTTATACAGTTTAGAGTACTTTCTAAAAAAAAAAACGAAAACCAACCATAATAAAGTAAAAAAAACCACATATAAGGTTTCATTAGAGCTGTAGGATTCCATAGTCAAAATAAGATCTAATTCTCATTCGTTTAAAAAAATTAGTTTAGTAATAAGTTGATTTTATCAGGTTTGAGAAGTTATTACTATACTAACTTTTTAAACTGACGAGAATTAGATCTTGTTTTTGACTATGGAGTCCTACAGCTCTAAAGAAACCTTCTATACAGTTTTTTTATTTCATTATATGATTAATTTTCTTAGAAAGTACTTTAAACTGTATAAATAATGTAAAATTAAATTGAATTTATTACATAACCCAGCTGGGTCAAAATTACAATACTCAAAAAATTTTCAAGTATACGTACATACTATCCGGGTGGGTTTTTTTAAAAAAACTATAAAAATTTATATATATAATTTTTTGAAAATAAAATTAAAAGCCGGGTTGCCGGGTCACTTTTGAAAATTTTATGTTATAAAAAAAGTTTGTATGGCCTTATGTAATGTTTAAGTGTTTGATCAAAATAAAATTATGCACTGGCTGATAGTGCCGGAATATTGCTACTTAACGTTAACAATAAACATGTTTTCCGATGTAAAGCTAAGATTTACAGATGCAGTTAGAGTTCCGAACCGGATGCAAAATCGTCATCCGGATCACTCGTATAATCTGGACGGTTGAATAATCTTGACAGGGGTACCCCTATAGGTAACTTTCTTGTGATTAGTTAATTTTATACAGTTGAATTTATACAGTTTAGAGTACTTTTACGTCTCAACATAGTAAATTTTTTTTTAAATCGTGTGGTTTTGTGGTTCTTTACTGCTGTATTTTTTTATTATTCAATGAAATATTGAAAATAAGTTTTATTAATTAAATTTTTAATATATAAAAGTACAAATAATTTAGTATTGTTATAGGTGAAAGCCTTCTTAATTTTCACACTATAACGATGACACGGCACAAGGAATCCCTTACGGGTATATGCGGTGTCCAAGAGGGAAGTATAGCTTCTGTTAGTCGTTGTCAAGAAACTATACCCTTCTCTGAGGCAGTTCGGGAAAGGTAATGCAATACTTGTAACTTTACTTTATTTCA